TACCAACTTTGTTGTCATTTAGCTTGTTGAACAGGTACGTTGAAAAACTGTCAAAGACACATCACCCTGTGATAACCTTTTCAAATCTGCGGTTTACCCTCAAATTTACTATTGGAAACATACTACCGATAAGCACAATATGCTAATCTAGTACCTTCGAATTGAAGAATTATCCGGGAAAACAGAGAGTTTTGTTAGACAATGAGATCTCAAGGAACGTTTAGTCAACATAGATATACCATCATTTATAGCTATTGCAACGAAGTGGAACCCACTCAACATGAATTTTAAGTCATTATTTTTCAAAATTTTCCTTTCTTCGCAGAGAACAGGGACTCCAAATTTCGAACGTCGTTTCTNGACTCCAAATTTCGAACGTCGTTTCTCACGTTTACGTCACAACGATTCTGCTAACACGCCCAAAACAGACCCGCAATCCAACGAGGAGAATCCGAATACAACGACGAAGAGGCCGGATATTTTGAATATTTTCGCCAAAGACGATCTGCTTCCTGGTTGTATACCAATTTTCCTTTCTCAACCAACACAGGTGATTTTCAATCTGGTGGCAGATGAGGATGTGACTAAGGCCAAACCGAGCACATTGATCGCTAAAAATGATATTCTCAAAGATATTCAGCTTCGTGCGGCAGTTTCCGATTTCAGTGTGCAGAAAACCGCAATCAATGAATATCCAGGGAGTGACATTTTGGTAATCTACGATGCGGACGTAAAGTTTGGAGAAAATTTCATTCTAGTACTCTCAGAAGAGACCAAGAAAATAATTCTAAATCCCTCGGACGAGAGTCCGCTTCCTGCTACGGAAGAGGATAAAACTTACGGGGGTGATGAGTTGGATGAAGCGAGCGATGCCGTGGCCGAATTTCATCCACGAACTCGACGCCCGTGGATTAATCTGGGTTCCGACAAAGAAATAATGGAGGCTTCGACTACTGATACTCGACCAAGAATCTACACCATTTACCAGCGTCCCAGGAGGGAATTTGGTGCTCCGGTGTTTTTTTCCGATAGAGATGCTGTAGAAAAATCCATGGGTAGCATGGTCAATTCGTCGGAAGAAAAATCCACTGATATTCCGATTGTCGAACTGGACCGAGCGGTTTCAAATGCTCAGTTGACATGTGAACGTGGAACAAACACCGACTGGAAGTATCCACGAAACGCGTTCACCCAGTACCAACCACGTCTGCTTAGCCCGGAAGATTTACAACTGTATTTGGCACCAAACGGACCGTTACAGAACATCAGTAAACATTTTAAAATATTTGAGCAAGGTCTTTTACAAAACATGATGTACGACTTTTTGGCAAACGACTACGAGAACTTGGCTGCCGGTGATGAGACTTACGATAGTCGAGCGGATAACACATTCAAAGAATTTCTATCGTTCACCGATTTGAAATTCAGTAAAGATAAAGCAATCACAGATATTCAATGGCATCCGACTATTAAGGGTATTGTGGCCATGTCCGTGGGCGAACGTTTGACATACGATCAACGTGTGGAGCAATCTTCGCGAATTTTGCTCACATCGACGCATATCATACTGTGGAGTTTTGCCGATCCTATTCAACCGCAACTGCTTCTCGATGCTCCGGAAGACATTATGTGTTTCCAATTCAATCCAACAGATCCGAATATTGTGGCCGGTGGCTGTTACAACGGTCAAGTAGTGCTATGGGATATTGAAAAACACATGGAAGATTTGCGTACTGTAAAACAGCGCATGAAAGCCAAAGGCAAAGTGCCCCTGTTCTCTTTTGACGATCACGACCCGCAAAAAGTGCCCGTTTCGCCTTACTGTGCGGTGAGCAATATTGAAGCATCACACACGGCACCAATATTGGCCATACAATGGGTTCCGGACCATATGGAAGTGAACAGACTGGGTTATTGTATGGAAAATATTGGTCTTCGTTGTGTTCAGCTAGTCACATGTGGTTTGAACCATGAACTCTTGTTCTGGGATACGCGCGCAGATAGATCCCCGTTAGCAGTGGACAAAACAAGAGACTCTATTGTACCGGCAATGAATGTCCCCACCACATTTGCAGCATTGGATAACAAATGGAAACCGCTTTTACGTGTTCACTTATTCAAAACGGATCCCGGAGGTGATCATGCGCCAACCAAATTTTGCATGCGGGTCAGTGAGTCGATACATGCTGAACCAGCTTTAATTTTTTTGGAGTGACAAATTTTGGGAATGCTTTTGTGATAAATTGATTCAAAATAGAAAAGTTAAGTTATCTTTATATCTGTCCATATGCTATCTTGTAAATTACTTTGACCAGTTCTAATGGGCTGACTCAGAGGAAAAGGATGAGTGGTTATGATATATTACGGGATTCTGATGTGGCATTCTGACTTGCCTAATTAATTTCATCGTGTTTTTTGAGCAGATTGATCGGTTTCGTGACTGATGATTTCCGCCATAGGATGTTGGTTACTACGTTTTTGGCACGAATTTGGTCGGAAAATATTGTTTTACCGGACTGTGTGAACTACCCACAACTAGAGAGAATCAAAATCTCGAGCAATTTTAATAATAACCTTCGAAGTTTGATCCCAGTTTGTTTGATAGTGATAAAACAGCTAAATATAAAATAGACTGGGCGTAAATGTTCGAAATTCTCTCCATTTTGTCTCTGCATTTTTTCGAATTCGGTGTCTGTAATAAGGGTATAGAACACAGAAAAGTGGTGGTACTCAAGCGAACCTTTTTTGGTCCGGATCATCAGATCATGATGCTGTAGTTCGGGTGTTTGAACCCCCTCACTGTCGCTCAATTTTCCATCCCTTGATTGGTCAATTACAATTGGTCGAACAGGTCTACAGAATTCTCATTAGGAATTTACTGTGCACTGAAAGCTTTTCATTTATATTTTCTTTAGGAAGGTGAATTTTTATCTTTCGAAGATCATAAAGCATTTGTTTAGATTGACCTCAGAAAAAACAACAGGCCAGCGACTGTCACTGTATAAGTGAGATGTGAGATGATTGTTGGGTGAGATCGGGGTTGGTGTGAAAAGAATTGTTGTGGAAGCGTGTGTAACTGGCTTCAATTCAGTGTACCGACCAATGTGCCTTGATCAAACGATCGACACAATTACGGTAGCGGTTGATCAGTCAGCAGTACTCGATCATCCATCCAAATATGTAGCAGTTGAAATTTAGTTTCAGAGTTGGAATTTTTAGAAAGACAATAAATGAACTGCAGCAATAAAACCAAGAATCATGGCTCCGTGCTGCTCTCGAGAATGCGTAGCACAGAGGCTGTTTCGTTTAGACTGCCTGTTGTCATTTTACGTCCCATTGTCCCGGTTACCGAATAAATCAGTAAAATTATTTCACTTAAAATTCGAATTCGAGTGATAGTTATCATTTTAATAATTATTAGCGATTTTCAATAAAGCGTATTGGTCTCAGAAAACATGACCTGAATAATGTATTCATATTGCTTTCTACTTTTGTGTAGGAAAAATATCCACATTTCAGCTAAAAATGACACCTTTCTTCATCCAAAAGAGGGAATGACAGTTGTTTAAAATACTAAACTTCATATTGTATTGAGGAGGAATCATCTGAGACCAACATCCGATTTGTGAGAATTCGGGTGGATTAAGAAACGATCTGCAGATCTAGTTGAAGCGGGAGAGTGAAACGTCGATAGGCTACTCAGTAGAGGATGAGTGAGATCAGTGGAAACTTCCTGCGCTAGTTTTTTTGCATGCAGACAAGTATAGTTTACCGAGCTTTTTATACGTGCTTCATTACTGTATGTAAAAGATACAATACTGATAACTGACAGTCAGCGTTGAAGAGATTTGGAATCGTTTTTAAGAACCTAGGCTACACGTACCAGAGAAAATTCAGGAGAAAAAAGAGCGTACCGTTCATTAGAAACTAAATCCTGTCAACTGCTGAGTTATTTTAGCCTTCTTATTTGTTAATATAATTCTCGAAGATACGCCATAATGTTCTAAATATGAGATTCATAATTCACATTTGTGCTGATGAACACTTCGTAATAATCAACAAAATCTGCACTAATCAGATGTCCTCCTTTGCAGATAGAACGGTCACTAAGAAACAGGAAAAGACAAGTGGGTATTCGAAGTATTCAGACGGAATAAAAGTCATACATCTCATACAGATTGTTGTAGAGCTTTCTAAGCCATTATATACAGAAATAACCTTGCAATGCGTTATTCTATCTGCTTATTTAGGTAAATAGACAGGGGGATCTAATTGACAGAGCACCGTTACAGATGACAAGAAAAAGGCACAAGAACCAATCCATGAAGCAATCGTGAATTATTCCTCAGTAGTACGACCGTCCGTACCTAATTTAGATCATTTTCTTCCGTGTGTAAAGTAATATCAACATATATATATATCAGGTAGTGAAAGTTTGCAACTGGGCCATAGTCCTGAACGATGGTGCTGACATGCGCGAGCTGTGAAGGCCGCATTAAGCTCACGAAGATGGGTTTTGCTATATCGGGTATACTAAAAAATGATAAACAGGCTGATAAACTGCCCGGTGACCCAGTGCGTAGCATGCCTTCTTTACAGATACGGCACCCAAATAGCCGTGAGTGAGGATTCAGGTTGGATCCTCAGTTTGATCGATGGATTTGCATTGTCGATGAGACCGAACCAACAACAACAGCTGTCCAGTCTCTCCCAGCTTTTCAGCTCGACGAACTTATCGTGTAAGATTGCAACTGTTGATCAAATACTGTACTTATCACAAAAAACACCCTATGAGACACCTGGTAAAAAGGTATGGTCATTTGTAGGGTCGTGTACTATTTAAGAACATTCTACAGTTTGCAGATAATCTCGAAAATCCAGTTGGGAGCACTAGATTAGGCGAATAACTTGCAGTGAAGGAAACGTAGGCTTTGACCGGGAAAACCGATTAGGGGTGAATAGCGGACACTACGATACATATTTGAAATAAGTGTAACAATTCAATGGGCGACAGCGTTTCAGAGTTGAAATCTGATAGCACAACAGCAGGAGATATACTCTTAAGCATGAACACCTTTGCCACAATTCATCAACCGGGTTTTTCATCTAAGTTTCATTGCGGTCTTTTACCAACTCAGCAGAGTGGATTGGGAGTAGACAAATTCAGATTTTTATTATGGGAAAAAACTTACAAAGACGTTGCTTATCAAATCCCATAGGGTGTTTACACTTTGGTTCGGAACACGATTCACAAGATCACAGTTAGTCCATGAAAGCAAAATAGTAATGTAATGTTTTTGACGACCACAGGAGAATATATTATGTATTTGGGTGTTGAAACATAATGTTTGCCAGAGCATCATCAAGCTGAAGCTTGAAAGATACCGATGTTGGTGCACAGACCATGTGAAGTGGTAGAGAGTTCCATTTGCTGCACACTCTAACTGCAAATGAATGGCGCCTGCAGTCGAGACGGCTCTTTTGGTGTGCCAACTTTAGTGGATGCCCTCTGAGATGAACATTAGTTGATAGAACCAAAAGAGATCTACATGAATGGTTGGACTGTTGGACAACTCCAAACCGATGTTCTTTCGTTTCGTTTGGTAATTCCCATGGGCAAACAATAGCTAAATTCCTTCTAGTCGGGTTAAAAGGTGCTTCACGCAATCCGAAAATGTACCTTTTCAGTATGGTCCTATGTCATGCTATGTCATGGTTTTGTGGCTCAACTAATAAACTGCATGCCAAATACAGTTGTGGGCGGTGTAGATACGTAATTGAATGCAATCCATGGAAACATTTAGCATAAACTGTAAACGAACTAACTGATTTTAAAGATTCTTCTCATAATGAGTTCAGTGAAGTAACTTTTTGCTAAATTCTAATAAACTCCACGTAAACACAACCCTTACTCGAAATGGATGGTAAGTTTTCCAGTGCATCACATAGACACCGAGGCATTGTAGCTACAAAGAACATACCTTTTAGTTTTCTACATTAGTTGAAACAACTTATCTAGCACGAGGCCTTTGTTATGCCATATAGTATCATCTCTTCACTTCTAGGAGGTCCAAGGCGATCGACGTATTCTGAATGCAAATGCAGAAGATCGTAATGCAGTGTCCGCCAAAACCGGTGGTCCTCCCAAATCTCGTCCATTACAAGGTGCCAGTACTCATTTCTATGTGGGCACTGAAGATGGAGATCTGGTCTATGTGGACTGGATGCCACAGAAAGATCAAGATACCGGGAAAATGCAAACCCCCAAGCCTGAGTTCTACGCACCGCAACATGACGGACCCATATCCTATGTGGCTCGATCTCCATTCGAACCCACTGTTCTGCTTGTTGTGGGTGGTTGGACTTGGTCGCTTTGGAAGGAAGGAGTGCACAACGGACCAATTCTGGAATCAGGTCATTCAGTCAAACCGCTGACAGGTGAGAGTGGAGAGTAGACAGTAGAAACAGGAGATAGACAGACTGATGATCATGATTGCAGCAGGATAATTTGTTTCGCATTATTCGAACAAAATTCTTCGTTGAAGAGGCAGAAGGAGTGAATAGAAACTGAAAGAACTGTAACCACTGAACAGCTGTGCTTATCCGTTTTTGGCTTCAGTAGCAATACGCATTTATGGATTCTGACCGGAAACGCGTCTGGAAGCTCAGATATTGCTGCCCAGTAAAACCACGAATACAAGTAATCCATGTTTTCCTACACCTAATGCAGAACGCCTCACCATTTTAAGCTGATTAGAACCAGTATCTCACTAGACATAAAATAAAAAAGATCTACTCAGAGAATATACCGTCCTAGGCTTGGATATCACTGTTCTCCAGTCTGTGCGGGTATTCTCATGTGATTGCAGTGTTCTCATTGTTCACGAACCAATGAGAAACGAAAAAAATAATGAACACGTAATTGGCTAAATAGAATCGCTTCAGAAGGTTCTGGGACGTGGAATGCAACCTTTCTATTCCTCTAGTTCATAGACATCAGTCAGACTCTGTGTTCACCAAAATTAGTAAGCTGAACATTTTGAATAGGTCAACGCTCGCAAAGGGGAACCTTGTGTAAAGATCTTATTGCAAGCACTAATTTGACATTTGCACTAATTTTTGGTGTGTGAGAGTGTGCCATATGTTGCTTATCTCACTATCACTGATACAGCCTTGCACAACTGATTACAACCAACCAATTGTTCCACATGCGAGATTCAGTAACAGAAAATTATTGTGTGAAAGCCTGAAGCGATATTGTTCAATCCTAAATAGTAGGCCTACAACTGCATACCACTAAGGGAAATGATTCCTCGTCCAGGATTGTACCGTTAACACGGAAAGAAGACTTTCTACAGGAATTAACTTGTCACGAATCTACTTTTGCCGAATAGCAATTTTCGTCACATATTGTTGAACACGAATTTCTATCAATCTTGGGAATCAAAATGAAGGAAGCACAAATCTCTTTAGATTATCAAGCTTGGATTAGCTCATTCGATTGTTCAGAGACACCATGCACTCTTGATGGTCTTCGAAGTGCGTTTCACTCCTTGGGAGATCGTTAATTCCACACTGTTCGTATGCATTTAAATGCGATGGAAATGTTTGTGATAACCAACAAAGAGCACTGGACAGCTGTTTCGTCCTGTTTGGGACTCGTCAGCAGTACGTACCTTTTGCGTCCCTGTCAGGACTCGAATCGCAATCAGTCGGATCGGGAATTCAAACCCTTACAATCGAACAATCAAATGGGCTAATCCAAGCTTAATACTCTGAATTGATTGAGCTATTCGCACAAGGTGATAACCGTCAACCGTGAAGCTCAGGGGTAAGGGTTTGAAGTACCGACTCAAATGTTGGAGGTTCTAGTCCTGACAGGGACACAAAAGGTACGCACTGCTGACGAGTCTCAAACAGGACCAAACAGCTTTCCAGTGCTCTTTGTTGGTTATCAGAAACATTTCAATCGCAATTAAGAAGCACAAATCTCTTCGAAGGTCTTTTGTAGACAGATTTCATATATTGAAATCGTAGGGAAACAAAATAATTTCTTTGCAATCAATCTGCACTGTTTCATTATTACTACCTCCTCCTCCCCCGCCCGTTAGGTGGACACTGGTCACTAACCCGGCCTTCAGTATTCTTTATCTGTCGTGCAGACGGAAGTCTTGAAGTATGGGATCTGTTGGACAAAACGCACGAACCGGCCATGGTTCAATCCATATCGGCTAACGCCCTGACCGCAATCTCGTTGTGGAGTTTCTCCAGACGTCAACTGATTGCGATCGGGGATACACAAGGAGCGTTACAAATATTTGTCGTAAGTTTTGCAAGTCATTACTGTGTGCCAAATCACTGTCCACCAATTAGACTAATTTGAACGATGAAAATAGTTCAAACTCACAAATCCAAATCGATTCGAATATAGATGAGTTTGAATTGATCTATTGGCATGTACTTAACAAAAAGAAAGTTAGCATTCTGTACGGTAAATTTTGACCATCATCTCAAAATAGAATTTCTAGCAATAGGAAATATTACTGTCCAGGTAAAGGAATCCTCTCTGATGGTATCTTGAATTGCCTCTCGAGCAAGTGTCATGGTTTAGTTACGGTGCCACAAACCGATGAGTTGCCAATTAAGAATGCAAAAATTGGTATTTATTGACACGGAGCGTAAGCGAGTTTGGTACTTTTAGGTTAAAGTGGTTTACGAAACAGACATAATACTTATCCTTTTGGACATATATTCAAGAAATCGGTTAATACAGCGACAAAATGAACAGACACTGCTGTTTGTGCCTCTCAGGTCATTGTTGAAAAGAAAATCGTCGATATGCTGTTTTTTCAAACGCTAAACAAACAAGAAAATAAAAATGCATACAGTGTGTCATATTGAGTTATATTTAACTGCAGAGACAACAATAAGAGGGAGCCTGTTTCTTTTTTAGGAAAACCTCTAAGGCCTTCGCNCAAGTGATGTAACGTGTATACATTTTCGCATTTAGCATCATATACATCTGTCCCCAGTGAGCAGTTTGGTTCCTTGTTTGTCGTAAGGGTTCCTTTGAACGAAGTCAGAAGATCAAGTGTCTGCCTTTCTCAGTTTGAACACAAAAACTAAATGTCATTATATGGGGTCGGTATCCTCGATACCTTTTAATAAATTTTTCAAGAGTGATAGAAAACTGATCGATTAAATTTTCCTGCTGATACAGAGAGAGAGTGTCGCATTCAAACTATGATTTCTTTGGCACACAGTCTGT